TTTTTTGGGGGGGGGGTTGCTTCAATGGCTTCCAAAAACCTCACAGTATTCCGTGAAATTAGTATAAAGATATTAAATCGACAAATAGCAGGGACACTGGTAATTAAATAACTAATTCCTAAACCTCAGGGATCGACTCGTTGGCGATAATATATAATTGAATTGTGTTTTTCAATAAATACTTCAGGGACCATCTGGCAACCAGTTTCAGTTATATATACTCTCTTGAATCTAAGTTTCAAATGGACAGCAACTGCCTGTTGTAGAAACCTACAAATGTAGAGAACGACGTTACGAAAGTCTTCCGCCTTCAGGTGAAGGTTTCTACAACAGGCAGTTGCTGTCCGTTTGAAACTTAGATTCATTATGTATACTCTGCCTAAACAGCCTATCAAAGACTATATATATTCTCTTATGGCGAAAAACCGAAGCGATTGAAAGTTGACACTTCAATTTAATCAGTTTATAACCTAAGTAAGTCTTAAATATACCACGTTAATCCAATCTTCATCCTTGTTCAGCGAGTAAGGACGTTTATTTGTGTTTCTTCACCGTAAGTCGTATAATATTGAACTGCGTCTCGAATTTCAATTCTGTTTTAATTAACGAAGGTTAGATTAAAATTGCGAAGTTTGACGTGACACTCACAGTAACAGTTCAAGATCTGGCTATCAGCCACCAGAACTGTTAGTTAACAACAACAACAACAACAACAACAACAACGTAGTAGTCAATTGTATTTAACGGCCATAGACAAAATAAACGTAGACGGTCTATCGCAAAGGAAAAAGAAATTGATTTAAAACACGCCATGCGAATGGCTCAGAAGGGGCGAGCGAGCACGTGTTGATGAAATATGCACGGCGTACTTACGTAGCTTCATAAGCAAGTCGTGCTGTTATGTTCTTGTTTTAACCATTCACCTTTTAACTTTGTTCTTCTGAATTATTAATGATATTTTAAAACTCTAAACCTTATCTTTCTCTCTCTCTCCATCTCTAACTTAAAATTATCTTTTCTTTGTCTCTTACTTTGTTTGTAGTTAAGCACAAAGTTACACAATGGGCTATCTGTGCTCTGCCCACCACGGGTATCGAAACCTGGATTTTAGCATTGTAAGTCCGCAGACATACCGCTGTGCCACTCGGGGGGGGGGGGCTTTGTCTCTTAATAAAGATGATTACTACTAGCAGAAACCCGCCTTACGGGCGTCTGTTTGTGCTAGTAGTTACCGTAATGGTTTTATACATTAAAAGTCATAATAGTTTCTCGGTACTACATTTAAAAATTACATCAATAAAGATATAATCAAACCTTCACGTACAGTCCTAGTGAAAGTCGTGTTCTTGTTGTGAGGGGAGTACTTTTATTTAGAATTGTGTTCTATTATAAAGAAATGGTTGTTGCACATACCACAGTTATTTTTATAATTATCTGAATCTTGAATACCCAAAGTGTGAAATTGTTTATGGATTTTTGTTTGTGGTGCCATTCACTAGATGGTGCAGTAGTTTTGATTACATACATTGATAGTGACATACACGCTGTCTATCTATTACATACCACAGTTATTTTTATAATTATCTGAATCTTAAATACCCAAAGTGTGAAATTGTTTATGGATTTTTGTTTGTGGTGCCATTCACTAGATGGCGCAGTAGTTTTGATTACATACATTGATAGTGACATACACGCTGTCTATCTATTACATACCACCCAAATAGTGGTTTTTCCCAAAGAAGAAGACATATTACGAACGCAGAGTCAAGTATTTGCGTTGCGTGCCCTGTTAGACCTTCTTTGTTGTCACGATTTGGCCCACATGCGTGTAGTATTATATATCCCGTGTGGAACGGTGAGGAATATATAAATGTATTGCAATATTTTGTATCATGTGGAGAGTCCGGGAAAAAACGATTACTTATGTTAATTCTCAGGCTATTAATAATATAAATCAAAAGAAACACTCGCGTGCTGTGAAGTAATTTGAAGCTCGGTGTTACGACAACGAGCTGTTAAGTCAAAATAAAGTACTTGGTGGGAACATCACGGAAATGATAAAATGACGCATGTAAAAAAAAGTTTTTTTCTATTTTTTCTATATAGGGTGTAAAAGGGAGGGTGGGTGGAAAAATAGGTGGGTAGATTGATATAACTAACTTCTTTTTTTTCTATAGATATCTTACTTTGTTTTGATTGTTAAGCACAAAGTTACACAATGGGCTACCTGTGCCTTGCTTGCTACAGGTTACCTTCGCCTTGCTCACTACAAGTTACCCGTGCCTTGCTCACTACAGGTTACCTGTGCCTTGCTCGCTACAGGTTACCTGTGCCTTGCTCACTACAGGTTACCTGTGCCTTGCTCGTTACAGGTTACCTGTGCCTTGCTCACTACAGGTTACCTGTGCCTTGCTCGCTACATGTTACTTGTGCCTTGCTCGTTACAGGTTACCTGTGCTTTGCTCGCTACAGGTATCTAAACCCGGATTTTACTGTTATAAGCCATCAGATTTACCACTACGCCAATGGAGGATTTTTTTTCCTTTGGGAATCACATAAGCACTAAGTAATTTCTAAAATATCAAAACCTAAACCAACATAAAACGGGAAGGAGATGGCAGTTTACACGCACTTCGCTTGTTATAGTCTTTCAACTTTTGTGACAAATAAAGAAATTTACACGAAAACTTCCTTGTGTGTGTGTTTTTTTTTTCAGCGAGTAAAGTTTTATAAATTTTATGATATTTTGCGAGAAGCTGTCGTTTAAGTTTACAGAGATAAGAATTTTGTGTCTTAGTCTTATCATTTGTCGTGGGGTGTCATTTTGTGTCTTAGTCTTATCATTTGTCGTAGGTTTTCATTTTGTGTCTTAGTCTTATCATTTGTCGTTTGGTGTCATTTTGTGTCTTAGTCTTATCATTTGTCGTTTGGTGTCATTTTGTGTCTTAGTCTTATCATTTGTCGTTTGGTGTCATTTTGTGTCTTAGTCTTATTATTTGTCGTTTGGTGTCATTTTGTGTCTTACTCTTATCATTTGTCGTGGGGGTGTCATTTTGTGTCTTAGTCTTATCATTTGGCGTAGGTTTTCATTTTGTGTCTTAGTCTTATCATTCGTCGTGGGGTGTCATTTTGTGTCTTAGTCTTATCATTTGTCGTTTGGTGTCATTTTGTGTCTTAGTCTTATCATTTGCCGTAGGTTTTCACTTTGTGTCTTAGTCTTATCATTTGTCGTTTGGTGCCATTTTGTACCTCAGTCTTATCATTTGTCGTGGGGTGTCATTTTGTGTCTTAGTCTTAAAAGACACAAAATGACACCCTACGACAAATAATAGCATTAAGACACCAAAGGACATCTCACGACAAATAATAGCATTAAGACACAAAAGGACATCTCACGAAAAATGATAAGACTAAGGTACAAAATGACATCCTATCACAAATGACTACAGCATTAAGACATAAAATGACAAACACCTATATAACAAATTTTTATAACAATAAAAAATCATACCTTTCAACAATTTTAAGAAAACATAAAATGACACCCCACGACAAATGAACTAAGACACAAAATGACATCCCACAAAAATAATAGCACTAAGACATAAAATGACACCCCCCGACAAATAATAGCATTAAGACACAAAATGACATCCCACAAGAAATAATAGCATTAAGACACAAAAGGACATCCCCCGACAAATAATAGTATTAAGACACAAAAGGACATCCCACAAGAAATAATAGCATTAAGACACAAAATGACACCCTACGACAAATAATAGCATTAAGACACAAAAGGACATCTCACGACAAATAATTGCACTAAGACACAAAATGACACCCCACAAGAAATAATAGCACTAAAACACAAAAGTACATCCCCCCGACAAATAATAGCATTATATTGAAATAGAGCCACTGTTTCTGGATCACCATATTGAAATAGAGCCACTTTCTGGATCACCATATTGAAATGTTGTCGCTGTTTTGGATCACCATATTGAAATAGGGCCACTCTTTTGGATCATCGTATCAAATTAGAGCCACTGTTTCTGAACCACCATATTGCAATGTTGTCTCTGTTTTGGGACCACTGATTTCCAGTATTCATTCTTCGCCACTCACTGTATCCAGTTTTAAGAAAACGGAAACAAAACCCCATTATTGATTAACACCTGGTGCGTGATATTTTAATACGTTTTGAATTTTAACACATGACATTTATTACCTGTAACAATATACATCAAACTAAGAGGCTATTGTCAACCTTCGACAAATAATAGAGTGGATCAGAAACAGCGTCCCTATTTTAATATGGTGGATCAGAAACAGCGGCCCTATTTCAATATGGTGGTTCAGAAACAGTTTCTACTTCCAGATATTTCCAGAAAGAATAACTGCAGTTTAATATTCTACCTCAGGGTTTGAAATTTTATTATCACTACAGTCAATTTGGGTCCCCCAATGGACAGCGGTATCTGTGCGGACTTACAACACTAGAAACCAGGTTTCAGTACCCGTGGTGGGCAGAGCACAGATAGTCCATTGTGTAGCTCTGTGCTTAACTACAAACCAACAGTCAATCTGGATCAGAAAAAGTCAATACTGACATATTGAGGGCATATTTTGGTATAAAAAAACCCTCTGTTATTGGGCTTTGTTTTTAGTTCTGCTTGTATTTTTGTCATTTTGTGGGAAAATTCCTTACCTAGTTTGTTTTAGAGCAAAGCCACATTGGGCTCTCGTTGTAAGTCCGCATATTTACCACTGTTCCACCAGGGGGACTCCTTTACCTACAACAACCGCTATAACTGGATCCGAGTTTTATAAGTCCACTGGAACATCTCTAGGGTACTTAGTTGCCTAGAAAGTAAAACTTAGAATTAACAACACTCAAAAAGTACTTAAACCCTGAAAGCAGAGACACGGGATTGAGTCCCGATCTGTTTTCAATTTTTCAAGGAACTTTGTAACTGAATGGACATTGTCTAATGATGCTGGCACACACCGCTATTTTTTTATTTGTTTATAAGCTGTTTATTTCTTCAGACAACATAATAGTCGTTGTTAAACAGATAACTAAATATACATTGTCTAATGATGTTAGCACACACGCTATTTTATTTTATTTTTTGACTTGTTTGTAAACTGTTTATTTCTTCAGACAACGTATTAGTCGATCTTAAACAGACAACTCAAACACTGAACTCGCACATTTGTGGTAAAGACCAGACCTTTTTTTTTTCGGCCATTATTGCTTACGTTATTTAGTTCGAACGACGAAATGTGCAACGTTTATTTGATGAAACTGATAAATAGCCGTCATCGTTTCATTCGTCCTCAACAGGTGGCGGCCTTGGGACAAATGGAGGTAGCGGTCCGATGAAAGGACCGGGAGGATTAGACACAGGACGAGGTGGTTTAATACGTGGCTCTGGCAATGAAACGACGTGACGAGCGACGATATGAAACCCCGAGTCGTCAGCACGGTATTCGGTAATTCTTAATACTCGGAATGGGTCGACATAGCCCCATTTTCCAAATACTGTTCCATTTGGGGTCTTCTCTTCCTCTCTGAAAGACTGGCCCACGCTGAGTCCTGTATTATACCCAAACTTATATGATCCAACTCCTTTGTGATCGCGCTGAAGTACTGAAAAATATGTCATTCTAAGAGTGGAGTAACTTTGATCAAACTCTCCAGATGTCGCTAGAATTGTTCTCAGAACGACTGACATCTGAAACAGAAACAAATGTATTTATTTTCGATGACGAGGAACCCACTTTGAAACTAAT